TCGAAAAGAGATCAAAACACAAACGACCCAGGAGATTACAACGCAAGACCCAGGATACCACAACAAAAGAACTCACAAGCCCATCACACAACCCATTACCCAAGCCGTTAAAACACAAGAGGCTAACGACCCAGGAGATGACAGCACAAGATCCAGGATATCTCTACAACAAAAGGCCATTACACAGCCCATTATACCAACATCAACTCCATCAACCAATCAAGAGGCTGCAGCACAGCCAACCAGCCCAGCACACCATCCCCCACCACTTGTATATATAGAGAAATGGCAGCTCCGGTCACACACTGCTTGCACTGGCACTAAGCCGAAAGCACCAGCCTGAAGATGGCGAGTGGGACCTCGCCGAAACGTTGCCTAGATACTTTGAATCTTACGCGGGAGAAAACCCGAATAACCAAAGATCCATATATATATATATATAAACATTAGTAAACAAAATAGTTATTCAAATTAATTCTAGTAATGGTATGAGCCTTGTAAATCTTTCACGTTTCTTTTCAATATTTATCAATTTTTGAGAACAATTGAAATATTTCCCTCCCTTCTTCATTATTACATTAATTACATTAATTACATTAATTATTAATAAGCATACCATTGGATAGTCATACAGTTTTATCTTATAAATTATTTACTATTAATAAGCAAAATAATTATTCAAAATCATTCTACCGTGTTTCTCATATAATAAGGCTGGGTCTTATTTTATTTTGAGCCCCGAAAAAATGGCTAGGCTGTCTTTTTGGAGGTGACTTAATTCCCCCCCTTGCATCTTCGGGCAGGCGGGCGGCAACGACTTGGATGTTGACCTCGGCGTTGGTGGGGCACTTTGTATCAGGGTCAACGCAGGCAGCACCATATCCGGGTGTGCAACAAAAGTACTTCCTAACAGCAAGCCCCCCCCGCCATTTTCCCTCCATTTCGCATGTTTTAATATAGGCCTTAATTTGGGGGGAGGGGCTTAATTTCATTTCATGCCTATAAAACATGCCGGGACTTCCTATTGGGGGAGGCCGTATTGTTGGAGAAACAGGGTAGTAACTGGTATAAATTTCCTTATATATCTTTCACATTTCTTTTCAATATTTTATCCATCTTTAGAAACATTTATAATGTTTCCCTCCCTTCTTTATTATTACATTAATTATAAATAAACATACCATTACATAACAATACAATTTTATCTCATAGATTATTTACTTATTTCATTTCTAACTCATTACAGTATTCTACTGTCACAACACTATCTTTTGTACCTTTGCAGAATCCTCACTTTTAACTTAATTTAATCGTTGTCTCTGTGTTTTCTAGCTGAGCAAATACCTTTAATCCTAGTACGTTTCCCCTTTTTCTTTATTTCCTGCTTTTGTCCCTCATAACTTTTTTCCTTTCTATCTTTCCCTGCTTTTTCTCATCCCTTTTTTTTATACCCCTCTTTCTCTAATTTTCCCTTCTGTTGTTTTCTGCTTCTCCTTGCTGTTATACTTCTTTTTTGGACTGTTTTTCTTTTTGGCTGTTCCCTTTGTTCTCAAACTTTTAACTCCTTTCCCTGTTTTAGGGCTTTAAAATGACCAAAAAAAATCTTTATTCTCCTTTTGACACTTAGATTTCAGCTCAAAGTTGCCTATCAGTGTCAAAATAGATTAACATAAATTTCTTTCCATACCATTTGTAATTCTCAATATAAAGGTTAAAAAAAGGGGGTTTTAACCTCTTTTTCTCTCTCCTTCGCCACTTAAAAATCTTCTTTCAGAAGTATCCTTCTAAGTACTTTTAGATTAAGGGTACCTTGCTTAGATCTTCTCTGTTGTTTAGCCCGGTCTGTCCTGCTTTCCTCTTTGTCTTCCTCATGCACAATCTTATCCAGTCGGGTTCTTCTTTGAAGTGGCCATTTCTGACCACCGCTGCAATCACCTTCGGGAAAGGGAGTTTAGACCAGCCAAGGAGGAGAGATGCGGCTCCCCTCCACTCAGCTAGCAATCTCCCCACTCTTCACCACCTCTACGGGGTGGCTTCAGCCCCGAATCCAAAGGATCGGGGTTCTCCAGCAGCGAGCACAAATCGAAACTGCGCACGATCGCGGATTTTGGTCTGTCGCTGAAAAAACCCAAACTGGAAGCCCTCATTTTCTTCTTTTCAACCACAGTTTAATCCAGTGTGTTATGCTCCAAGTATCAGTTCGTACACTGCTCAAAAAAATAAAGGGAACACTTAAACAACACAATGTAACTCCAAGTCAATCACACTCCTGTGAAATCAAACTGTCCACTTAGGTAGCAACACTGATTGACAATCAATTTCACATGCTGTTGTGCAAATGGAATAGACAACAGGTGGAAAGCATAGGCAGTTAGCAAGACATCCCCAATAAAGGAGCGGTTCTGCAGGTGGTGACCACAGACCACTTCTCAGTTCCTATGCTTTCTGGCTGATGGTTTTGAATACTGGCAGTGCTTTCACTCTAGTGGTAGCATGAGACGGAGTCTACAACCCACACAAGTGGCTCAGGTAGTGCAGCTCATCCAGGATGGCACATCAATGCGAGCTGTGACAAGAAGGTTTGCTGTGTCTGTCAGCGTAGTGTCCAGAGCATGGAGGCGCTACCAGCAGACAGGCCAATACATCAGGAGACATGGAGGAGGCCGTAGGAGGGCAACAACCCAGCATCAGGACCGCTACCTCCGCCTTTGTGCAAGGAGGGACAGGAAGAGCACTGCCAGAGCCCTGCAAAATGACCTCCAGCAGGCCACTAATGTGCATGTGGCTGCTCAAACGGTCAGAAACAGACTCCATGAAGGTGGTATGAGGGTCCGACGTCCACAGGTGGGGTTGTGCTTACAGCCCAACACCGTGCAGGACGTTTGGCATTGGCCAGAGAACACCAAGATTGGCAAATTCGCCACTGGCGCCCTGTGCTCTTCACAGATGAAAGCAGGTTCACACTGAGCATATGTTACAGACGTGACAGGGTCTGGAGACGCCGTGGAGAACGTTCTGCTGCCTGCAACATCCTCCAGCATGACCGGTTTGGCAGTGGGTCAGTAATGGTGTGGGGTGGCATTTCTTTAGGGGGCCGCACAGCCCTCCATGTGCTTGCCAGAGGTAGCCTGACTGCCATTAGGTACCGAGATGAGATCCTCAGACCCCTTGTGAGACCATATGCTGGTGCGGTTGGCCCTGGGTTCCTCCTAATGCACGACAATGCTAGACCTCATGTGGCTGGAGTGTGTCAGCAGTTCCTGCAAGACGAAGGCATTGATGCTATGGACTGGCCCGCCCATTCCCCAGACCTGAATCCAATTGAGCACATCTGGGACATCATGTCTCGCTCCATCCACCAACGCCATGTTGCACCACAGACTGTCCAGAGTTGGGGGATGCTTTAGTCTAGGTGTGGGAGGAGATCCCTCAGGAGACCATCTGCCACCTCATCAGGAGCATGCCCAGGCGTTGTAGGGAGGTCATACAGGCACGTGGAGGCCACACACACTACTGAGCCTCATTTTGACTTGTTTTAAGGACATTACATCAAAGTTGGATCAGCCTGTAGTGTTTTTTTCCACCTTAATTTTGAGTGTAGCTCCAAATCCAGACCTCCATGGGTTGCTAAATTTGATTTCCATTGATAATTTTTGTGTGATTTTGTTGTCAGCACATTCAACTATGTAATGAACAAAGTATTCAATAAGAATATTTCATTCATTCAGATCTAGGAAGTCTTATTTTTGTGTTCCTTTTTTTTTTTTTTTTGAGCAGTGAATTTGAAAAGCCCACAATATTTTATCCTCCTCATTTTCTACTGCTTTTCAAATCTATGTTCCCATTAATTTCTTATTATTAGCACATGATAATTTTTACATATGTTCCAGTGAATTGTTTTGGTGACTGTGTTATGTTGTTTATAGTCAGTTTCTTCAATCTTCTTGTAACAAGTCAAGTATATGATCTATTCTTCACCTTCTTTGTACAATCAACACTTCGAATCATTTGATGTTTTTTTAAAATTCTGGTCTTGATTGTATTAGTTTGAATAGCTTGAGCACCTAAAATTGAGCCTCCCATTTCTTTTTCTTTTTTTTAATATTCCTGTTGTAAGCCATTGCCATGTTTTGTTTCCTGTACATTCTGTCCAAGTTCCAATTTTTAAATTGTATCAGTGCTTGGTCGGTGATCTTTTACAGCTAATGCATGATTTTTCTTTTTCAACAGTTTGTTTGACTTGAAAGTGGCTCCATTTCCATAGGGCCAGTATAATTATTAATATTACTATAAGGATGTAATGCATAATAAGTAGTCATGAGCTTTCTTGTTTTTTGGTCCAAACTGTCCAGTTAATAATTCCAGCTGTATCTCATATCACAGGTATGACCAGGTATTGATGTCTTTGATGTTATTTTCACCATTTCAATTTTGTCTTTTTCTTACTCTTTGAATGCGTTCTTTACTAATCACATTTTTAATTTGCCCATGCTTGATGTTATCCAACTGTAAAATTTCCAGTTACTTGTAGACTTCATCCTGATGGCTTCTGATGATTTGGCCATTTGGTATTCATTCCATTAATGTTTCTAATTTTATTGCACTGTATTGCTGTTGTAGCACATTTCTCACGATGATGGCAATTGTTGGTTGCACAGTCAGCCAGATGTTTAGATTAGACTTGCCATTTTTTGTTCATCTATCAAATCCTTTCCAAGGACCTGGAATAGGCAGACGTTTCAGGGGGTACCAATTTTATGGTGTGATCATTTAAAATCTTCATATATCTTATTTAGGGAAAATACATCCTGAAGATATAACACCACTTTTACCTCATGCTATTGGTGAAAAGATTGAAGACCCAACTTGCTACTTTCTTCAGATACTCTTAAAATACATGGTAATTCAGGTGAGCACACATATAGTAATTTCATTGAAATTGTTTAATTTGTTCATATATTCACATATTAATTCCCACAGCACTATCTTATTTCTCATCATTCCTCATTTTCTCATCTTTCCTACTACATTTTCCTATTGGTTCCTTATGATTTATCAGTTGTTGTTTGTAACTTATGATTAATGATTGTAACTGTGATTATGACCTATGATCTATGACTTGCTGTTTATAGGTACACTTTGAGCTTATGCACTGGAGAAAATTCCTTGTATGTCCATTCACACCTGGCCAATAAAGAATTCTGTTCTGCTTTGCTTTGCTTTGCTTTGCTTTGCTTTGCTTTGCTTTGCTTTG